AACTGGAAAATTCTGAAAGAGCTGGGAATACCAGACCACCTGACCTGCCTCTTGAGAAACCTGTATGCAGGTCAGGAAGCAACAGTTAGAACTGGACATGGAACAACAGACTGGTTCCAAATAGGAAAAGGAGTATGTATGTCAAGGCTGTATATTGTCACCCTGCTTATTTAACTTATTATATACAGAGTACATCATGAGAAACGCTGGACTGGAGGAAGCACAAGCTGGAATCAAGATTGCTGGGAGAAATATCAATAACCTCAGATATGCAGATGACACCACCGTTATGGCAGAAAGTAAAGATGAACTAGAAAGCCTCTTGATGAAAATGAAAGAGGAGAGTGAAAAAGTTGGCTTAAAGCTCAACATTCAGAAAACTAAGATCATGGCATCCAGTCCCATCACTTCATGGGAAACAGATGGGGAAACACTGGAAACAGTGGCTGACTTTATTTTTGGGGGCTCCAAAATCACTGCAGATGGTGACTGCAGACATGAAATTAAAAGACGCTTACTCCTTGGAAGGAAAGTTATGACCAACCTAGACAGCATATTAAAAAGCAGAGACAGTACATTGCCAACAAAGGTCCGTCTAGTCAAGGCTATGGTTTTTCCAGTAGTCATGTATGGATGTGAGAGCTGGACTATAAAGAAAGCTGAGCGCAGAAGAATGGATGCTTTTGAGCTGTGGTGTTGGAGAAGACTCTTGAGAGTCCCTTGGACTGTGAAGCAGCCAAGGCCTGAACTTTAAAGAAAACCAACATTTAACGGATAAAAACCAAACAACAAAAAAGCAACAACAAACGAGAAGCCTATAAAGGAGATCAGAAATAAGTAGCCTAAAAAGTAGATGCACATGCAGGACACTGTGGGGTAAGAGGCCAAGTGAAGTGGAGAAAGTGGACCAGTCTAGTGCAAATGCTCTTGAGGTTAAGAAACCATGGCGGTTACTACGGCCCCTGATTAGGATGGATTCAGAGTAACTGCCAAGGCAGAAATCAGGTTAAGGAGTAAGTGAGAAACAGAATTTAAGAAGCTTGGCTACAAAGAAAAAGGACAGCTGTGTGGGGTTTTTTTTCTGATTTTATTTTTAATAACAGTTGTGTTTAAAAAACAAAAGAAGATGGATGTACGTTTGTTGAACATACATACAGCACTGAAACACACATACATACATCATGTATGTTTCAGTGCTGCTGGAGATGAGCCAGCAGAGATTAAGATACAGGGGGAAAGGAGACAAGTGATATTTAGGCTCCGATGACGCTAATAAAGATGCGAGCTGGGCTCCAACATGTAAGTGGAAGGTGTGACCCAACATACAGCCAATATCTCATCCATTTTCATAGGAGAAAGGTGAGGAATTTATTGACTGATGTCTTCTCTTTATAAAACTGAAAGTAGGTTCCTTACAGTAAAAGATCAAGCATTATTTTTTAAAAAAATTATCCGTGGCACAGTGTAGTACCTTGCACAGAGGAAACATTCAATAAATATTGGGGAAAAAACAAAGCTAAAATTCTACACAAAGTCCATCTTCCAAACTGCAACTAATAAAACTGTTAATTAAGTCCCACTGAGTGCTGTAGTGGCCTGGCTTTCCATGTGAATGAGGCTTTGTGTTAAATGAAGATTCACCAACACCAGGGCTCCAAAGCACTGGCATTCTAGCAACAGGGAGGCCGAATTTACCTCCAAGTAGTTACACCTGGCAGAGCACTGAACCCAGATGACAGGAGGCTGCTTCACCAGCTCCTCCAGTTCTGACAAAGGCGCGCTCACAAGCTAAGTGTTTACTATATCCAACTACTGGGCTAACAAGAAAAAGCTGAGGGGCTTCCCTGGCGGCTTCCCTGTCAATGCGGGAGACACGGGTTTGACCCCTGATCCGGGAAGACCCCACGTGCCGAGGAGCAACGGAGCCCACTGAGCCTGAGTTAGAGCCCAGAAGTCGCAACTACTGAAGCCCGCACGCCTAGAGCCGGTGATCTGCAACAAGAGAAGCCCCCGAAATGAGAAGCCCGAGCACTGAAACTGGAGAGTAGACCCCACTCGGCAGCACTTCAGAAAAGCCCTCGTAGCAATGAGGACCCGGCACATTCTGGATGTTGCTAGAATTTAAATTAATTAATTTGAAAAAGAAAAAGCTGGGGCACCACGTTACACAGAGGATGGATAAACAAGGTCCTACTGTATGGCACAAAGGACTATAGTCAATATCCCATGATAAACCATAATGGAAAAATATGAAAAAGAACATATATATGTATAACTCAATGACTTTGCTGTAGAAGTCACAGCAGAAATTAAATGCTACATTGTAAAATGACCAAAGAGGAGGTGGCGCTTCTGGAAAAACAGTACAACAGACATGGGTGTTTCCCAGCTACAGAAAGGGTAGTGAAAAGGATTCACTGATCCGTGACCAGAAATTTTTTTAAAAATCAAATAGGACAATGAATTAAAACAAAGAAATGTATGATAGAATCACATGTACTTAAGAAATGTTGCATGAAACTGTTTTCATACATATCAGATCAAAATATAGATTTATTTCTTACTGTGGCTGGGGCAGTGGGAAATTTGAAAGTTACTGACAGACACTATAATACAGAAAGATAAAGGCTATAAAGCAACGGTTCTGTATAAAATTATACGGCAGCAAAGCAAATGACTGTCTCCCTAGGCATTAAAAAGAAAAGGTGCCCAGTCTGGGCTTCCCTCATAGCTCAGTTGGTAAAGAATCTGTCTGCAATGCAGGAGACCCCAGTTCAATTCCTGGGTCGGGAATATCTGCAGAAGGGATAGGCTACCCACTCCAGTATTCTTGGGCTTCCCTTCTGGCTCAGCTGGTAAAGAATCCGTCTGCAATGCAGAAGACCTGGGTTCGATTCCCTGGGTGGGAAAGATCCCCTGGAGAAGGGAAAGGCTACGCACTCCAGTATTCTGGCCTGGAGAATTCCATGGACTATACAGTCCATGGGGACGCAGAGTCCGACTCCACTGAGCGACTTTCACTACACATATTGCCCTATGTTATGCAGGAGAACTCACCCACACAGTGGGGACTGAGATCCACCACAGAGCCCGGAGAAAATCACACAACCCTCAGCTTCATCATCCGTGGAAAGAGCACACCAACTGCCCTATGTAGCAAGCAGGGTTGCTATAAAGCTCTATTGAGAAAGCAAACTATAGTGCTTTGAAAAACACACATTGTGTATGTTAATTTAAAGTAATTTAATTATTAGATTAACCCTATGAACACCAGTTCTATGTTCACAGGTGAAGATAAACAGCCCGTCTGTAGTGGTTAAGGGAGTAAGCTTTAGAATGGAAGAGGAGTCCAATTTAGGGGCTCTCTCTTGCTAGCTGTGCAGTTCTGTGTCAATCTGTAAATCAACCTAGCTTCTCTTAGTTTCCATTTCCTCATCTGTGAATGGCAGCAACAAGTAACTTTATGGAATTGATGTACAAATTAAACAAGGTATCATGGAGAAGGAAATGGCAACCCACTCCAGTATTCTTGCCTGGAAAAGTCCATGGACAGAGGAGCCTGGCAGGCTGCAGGCCATGGGGTTACAAGACTGAGCATGTGTGCACGAGTGTGGAGGGAGATGGGTTGGTAGCAATAAACTGGTAGAACTAAAAAATAAATAAATAAATAAACAAGGTATCAGATATGAAGCCTTCTGCATACTGCCTTGCAGATTACTATTACTGGAACTATGACTTTCAGTATTTTATTTTTTTGACTTTCAGTATTTTAACCCCCATCTCATGTATGCTGGCCCTAATTGGGAAATCAATCTTATCTCCTGGCCAGGGATATCTGAGTAATTAAATCAACTATAAAGTTACAAACTTAAAGACATACCAGAAAAATTTTATACATGATAAATTAAGAACAATTACATAGAACCAGTGTTTATAATTAATCATTTTTAAAGATTAGTCTATTTCCAAGACAAAGAATCTAATTATGCAAATACACACGTTATAAACACTGAGAATGAGCTGAGCTTTTCCTGATTCCATTTTCCCTCTAAAAGATTTTGTATTCCAACACCTGGCCCTTTATAACACCCACTGTGCATTCCAACATCTAAATTAGCTTTTTCAAATGCTCCAGAAACCATTCATCAAAGGTAAAAGGCCCCCAGTTAAGAGATGAAAATACCAAATTACAAATATGAACAAGCTCTGCCCCACACCATTTGCTAAATAACACTCTATTTAATTAGCTCCACTTTGTTAATTACTTTTAAAGCTTCAATGATTATGAAACTTCCATCTGCCAAGCTAACAATCCCAACTTACACTACAGCAAATACTTAAGTCAAGTGTTCTCACAGTGTGGTAGTCCACAAGAGTCCCTGAGGTCAAAACTATTCTCAGTACTAAGGTATTATTTACCCGTTCACTCTGTTACATTTACACTGAGAGTGAAAAGTGAGTCTCCCGACGGTTTCACAACCAAGACAACAGCACTAAACTGTACCAGCTCTCAGATTCGTCCATGCTGGGCACTAATGGAAGGGGGTAGTTTCCCTTAACTATCTCCTTGAAGTTGTAAAATTATTAATTTTACTAAGTCGTGGTCCTTAACCACATCTTTCTAATATCCTGTGCGACAAAACAGGAAGTACACATAAAGTGCAAAGCCTTCTTAAAATGACAGAAGTGAACGACCAGAAAAAACTGGGGCGGTCCAAAAAATACCGACAGACGGGAATGGGTATGAGGGACAGCTCGGGGAAGGAGAACTACCAGTCTCGGGTTTTCCTGCAATTCCCACACTTCCATCCCAAAGGCTCCCGAGTGAGTGCCAAGGGCACAGTGGGTCTAGCGGCGGCCTCTCTGGGGCCGCGGCGGGGTTCTGGCTGAGCCCCACCCAGAGAGGACCCGCTCAGCACCGTCCCCCTCTCCCCAGGCCCTCTCCCACGCAAACACTCAGCTCCTCCGTCGCCAACGCCCACGACCCCAAGGCTCCTCACCACCAACAGGTTCCTGTCCTCCACCAGCTGCCGCTTCCGGAGGATCTCCGATTTCAGAACGTCCATCTTGCTGTCCGGGTTGACGCTGTCTCGAGTTTTCTTTCTCCCTTTCCAGCTCCCTGAACTAAGACTTTCCACCCAGCCAGCCGCCGCTAACCTACTTACACGGAGGCAGCCCAAATACCGGAGGACAACAACTGACAGGGCGGCTTCCGGCGGAAGCTGAGGTGAGCGAGAGGAGGGGAAAGAGCGCTCCAGGGCTCCTAATATTGACGTAGTCCCTGAGGGTGGGCGCCCCCTGGCGGCCCTCTCCGATATCGTGCTTGTAGTTTCCGTGGAGATACGGACAAAAGTGGAAAACATGAATACTTCTTCTAAAGGGATGCTGCTTTTTTAAAAAATAAGCTGTATACCTATGTCAACTGTACTTAAGTTTTAAAAGAAGATAAAGGTACCTGCTACTTCAGGTGCAAAATCTTCATAGAGGAACACTTCATTTATGATTACTGAAGTCAGATCTTTACCTGCTACACGAGAATTTCACTTTGGAGTTCCTGAAGCTACCTGCGTACCAAAATTAATGTTCTCAAGTGAGAAAACCCAGAACAATAATACTAACTCATAAGTACAAAGTAAAAGGTGTTCGCTGCTGGCCAGTGTAACTACCTGTAAACGTAGACAATTATAGTACATTCATTTAAGTAATTTCAGAAGTAAATATGTCCCTCCTCCCTGAGTTCTAGATTGCTCGTATATCTTAGTGATAATTTAACATTTACCCCAGCAAACTGAGATAATCTCTTTGGTCATGTGTTCAGCAATCAAGATTTTCAGTGAGACGATTAAAGATGTAATTGGAAAAAATTGTTAATGGCTTCGCAAGAATACAAATTAAATTGGGGGGAAATTATATCAGAGATTTTAATTTTTGAAAGACCCTAAAAACTGTTTGCAATACATTTATTTTTGGTTCTATGCCACTGAAGCTGCTTTTAAAGTTTCTAGTTAAGTCATAACTGAACAATATTAGACATGCTACTTTTCCCTAGTCAAAAAAGGAAAGAAATATTCAGTTCAGTAGATTCATAATGGGTGAGATGGTTTAGCAAAATAAAAGATGATAGAGAATTGTTTCAACTTACAAAGTACTTTTACTGTATATGTGTATGTGTTGGTTATATTTCCTTTAAAAGATATCTGACTTTTGCCAGAAATAAATCAACATAGGAAGTTAATTCAGTCTCTGAGCTAAGATGGTTTGCTAATTTTTAGGGCTTTTGAAAACTTTTACCAAAAAAAAAAAGGTCTTGAATAATTAAACATGGTAACATTTTTACATGGATTTGTTTCCTGAGTTACTTATAGTTCAATAAACAAATAATAATTTATTAGCCTATTCCTGGTAAGGGTTTAGAAATGATGACACAAAATCCTGAAGGTTGACACTAGTAATTGTAACAGTAATGGAAGCTCACACAGAAGGAACAGCTAGCATAAACCAGGGAAGACAGTAGCTTCTATAAACAGGCTCCTTTTAAATTTCAGATTTTCGTTGATCTTGATGTTTATGTAAATATGTGCATTAAATCCTAATAAAGGCCTAAGATGGAAGAGTGGGAGAGACAAGTACTTGAACAAGCAAACTGATAAGGAAGCTTTTCAGTTTATACTGAGGGGAAAAACAGGTGACCAGGAGAGCTAAGAAATACTCAAGAGAACCAGTTAATCCTGATTCTAAGGAGTCATATTCATTTTTAAAATATGCATCCCCTTCTATCGCAGTTTTTTAAAGAGCAAAATATTAGAAAAAATCTAAGTGTCATATCTGGGGGAATGGTTAAATAAAATCATAGTTCATACATACAACTGAACAATATGTTCGGAAAATATTCAATCATATGAGAATCCTCATGACCTAATGTTTAATTTTTAAAAAAGTAGAGGGCTTCCCTGGTGGTCCAGTGGTTAGGACTCCATGCTTCCACTGCAGGGGCTGCTGGTTCAATCCCTAGTTGGGGAACTAAGATCCCAAATGCTGCACAGCCAAGAAAAAAATTTTAAATAAAAATTAGAAAGTAGGATAACGAAACTAGAAATATAACATACAGTCTCCATTTGGTTAAAAAAAAAAAGCATGTAAACCTAGAAAATTATTGAACAGAAACATATCCAAATATCAGATTATTACCTATTCTTCTTTATACTGTAATTGTACAAATTCCACAATTGGGGGGGGGGAATCCTGAGAGGCAGTCATTTTCTGTTTTATTTCATTACTATTGAAATTCTTTATAAAATTTAAGCATTACTACTTTAAAAATGATGTGATACATTTAAAATAATGCCAGTAAAAGAAAACAAAAAATTAGATGAAAAAAGAGAATGTTTTCTAACCTTCATACTTATTCAGTCAATATTTAGATGTCTCAGACTTCCCTGGTGGTTCTGGGGTTAAATATCCACCTGCCAATGCAGAAGACACAGGTTCTATCCCTGGTCCAGGAAGATCCCACAAGCCTCGGGGTAACTAAGCCTGTGTGCCACAACTACTGATCCCAAGAGCCAAAACTTCTGAAGCCTGTGCTTTAGAGCCTGAGCACCACAACTGGAGAGCAGCCCCTGCTTGCTGTAACAAGAGAAAGTCTGTGCACAGCAAGGAAGACCCAGGACAACTGAAAATAAGTGAATAAAAATGGTTTGCTGTCTCCTATGAGCCCTGGTGGCTCAGATGGTAAAGCATCTGCCTGCAATGCAGGAGACCTGGGTTCAATCCCTGGGCTGGGAAGATCCCCTGGAGAAGGAAATGGCAACCCACTCCAGTACTCTTGCCTGGAAAATTCCATGGACAGAGGAACCTGGTAGGCTACAGTCCATGGGGTCGCAAAGAGTCAGACACGACTGAGCGACTTCAATTCACTTCACTTCACTGTGAGCTCTGTACTACTTTAGGTTCTGTGGACTAAACCAAATATTGATACCATACATAGTCCTACCCATGAGGATGTTACCAGCTAAAAGTTAAATTATATAAGATAAACATGATTTTGTAGCATATATGGGGCTATTAAAAGTATTTACAGAAACTAAAACAAGAAATAGTAAAAACTCAATAGGTATATAATTGATGAGATTATTCTGCCATTGAAATAACCCATCCTAAGAGATTATCTGTCATTTCTTGAAAATGGGGAAATACCAAATTTAATCAGCATGATCTAGGTTTGTTTTGTTGCTGTCCTAAAGGATAGACTGTGACTTCTTTTTTGAAAGCTATATAATCTCATCCTGGGAGGTTTCCTGGCAATCCAGTGGTGAGGACTTAGTGCTTTCACTGCTGGGGCCCAGGTTCAATCCCTGGTGAGATCCCAGGGATCTCAGAAGCCAGAAGATCCTAGAAGCCACAAAGCACAATAACAAATTAATTCATTCATTACAACATTTAAGTTTAAAAATCTCATACAGTGGCCCTCCATTGTCAGCATGCCTCAAGATAACCCAGAGGACTTTTAAAAACCCAGATTGTGGGTCCCCAGAATGTCTCATTCAAAAGGTTTGTGGAGGAGCCCAAGAATTTGCTTTTTAAACAAATTCCCAAGTGAGGCAGCTGCTGTGGATCCAGGGACCACACTTTGAGAACCACTGATCTAATATATTATTCTGGAGCATCTGGTGAGTCAGAAACTCGGTCTGCCGGAAGTCCTGATAAACAAGACGGGGGAGGAAGCTGTCTACAGTACTGTCATGGGGCCTCCCAGGGCGTCTGCCCACTCACAGTGGTGCTTTGGGAAATTTCCTAAACAGAAGGAGCCGGCTCCCTTTGGAGCCAGCCATGTTCACAGGCCTGCTTCTGCGTGTTCACAGAGAGTGGGCTGGGACCTGGCCTCATGTGGACCAATCAGAGTCTGCGCCCTGGAAAATTTATGTTGGAATTGAGTCAGTCTTTGCAAGTACAGAAGGTGGGGATTGGAGAGGGGTGGAAACCATTCCAGGGGCATGCTGGAGCCAGATCAGTCCATTTTGAACCTCAAGAAGCCACTGCATGGGACTTCCCTGATGGCCCAGTGGCTAAGCCTCTGCACTATCAATGCAGGGGACCCAGGTTTGATCCCTGGTCGGGGAACTAGATCCCACATGCCACAACTAAAACTCCTGCAAGCTGCAACTAAGACCCAATGCAGCCAAGTAAATAAATAAATATTTCTTTTGACTAAAGAGCCCATTGCTCCATTTAAAAAAAATTTTATGAATCAGCTGTTATGCATAGCTATCAATAAAAAATGTTAACAATAAAACACATTATATTATAAACAACAGTAGTAAATACACAGAACCTATTGCTCACTAATTATATTACTGCATTTTACTATTATTTATGCTCTTGGAGTTAGTTATGACTGTTGCATCTATGAGGTGGTAACATAGAATGTTGAGCTCAGTGCATGTTTTTCCCTGATGCCACACTTGAGGAGCTCATGTTGGTAACTTGAAATCAGCCAAAATGGGAGTATTTACACCACAGAAACGCAAATGCTACCAATCTGGACTTGATTTATTATTTATCTAAGCTTTAAAAAGTGATGGGTAAAAAGTTAATAATATGGTACACAGTTTCTCAACCTTAGGCCAGATCATTCTTTTTTGAAAAAAAATGTCACTAACTCTATCCAATAGATGCTGGTAACACCCTTTCTATAGTTATGACAACCAAAATTGTCTCTGGACATTGCTAAACATCCCCAGAGGGGCAAAATCTCTCTCCAGGTGAGAACCAATGATACAAATGAAATTTAAAACATGTCTATGGCCATTACATGGTAAAGAGGACAAAGATTTGTGTAGTTCTTCTGCCAGGATTTGAAGACTATTATGTGAATCAAAAAGAAGCCTCTAGGACTTCCCTGGTGGTGCAGTTCACTTCAGTCAGTTCAGCTGTTCTGTCGTGTCTGACTCTTTGCGACCCTATGGACTGTAGCATGCCAGGCTTCCCTGTCCATCATCAACCCCCAGAGCCTGCTCAAACTCATGTCCATCAGGTTGGTGATGCCATCCAGCCATCTTTTCCTCTG